AAATATTGTGTTAACCGACGTTTCGGATGAACGTATCGCCTCCATCTTCAGGGTAGAAGAAAAATGAAAGTCCGCAAGCGAGGAACCAGAAAGACAGTCTTTCAACACGCTGGTTCCTTGCTCGCGGATTTTCTTTTTTTCTTCTACCCTGAAGATGGATGCGATACGTTCCTCCAAAACGTCGGTTAACACAATATATACACGGCGCCACACCCCAGAAGATGCCTTTCTTCATATTCACCGCTGTGAAAACCTCAAATCTTACAGAATGTATAGAGCTTAGGTTTGGTCTGGATTGAGGAGAGGGTCCCGTGCGAACAGAGTGATGAATCTTCCGAGTCCTTTAAAACTAAATTTCTTGACCAACTGAGCAACTCTCAGTTTTTCAGGAAGACTAAGTGCCGTGTAGTTAGTTCTTTAAAGACGATTGTGCAGGTTAATTACACTGTCAATACACTTCGTCAGAAAGTCCTTGTGTAACTGAATTTTTTAGCAGGAAACACTTGGATTCTTGTCATGCCCAAGTGATTCACTGGGGGGTCGGAAATAGCAATCCCTCTGTACATCCGACCGTGTTCAGTTTATCACATCAGAGACGGACAGGCTAAGATTTTCGGATCAGATACGTCACCCGAGAAGAAATGAAATGATCCGTGATTAAATGCCATGTAAAGGACTTATAAAAGAATAAAAAAATACAGTGGCCTGTGTGGAGTCATTGGTTTCAGATTTACGCTGCTACACAATGGTTTGTCTCTTAGATATAAACATGCCATTATTCATATATAACTAAAGAGGCAAAGCGATAATTTGTTAAGTTTTTTTTTCCATAAAAGAAATAAAAAAATATCCTTGAACTGTGTCGACTTCCGCCATTTCCTTATTTCCACTGAAAGACTTTATTTTTAATTCGTTTTGTTTTTGTGGTTCCGGTATATGAGAAAAGAAGGTTGTGGCGCGCCGTGCCGTTGCATGCTGCCATGTAACTGCGTCCTTGATATAGGCCTGCAACTCAGTGATATATCTTTAAATGTTGTTTTTTCGTCGAAATCGTTTTTCGTTTGTTGATCATTTAGACAGATAAAATGAAATGCATAAATGCTCAGGACCTTACTGTCCGAACTGTTTCGAAAGTTCCAATTTACTGGTCTATTTAAATCAAAGTCCTTAATATAAATGTCATTACAGCCAGTTCTCCGGGAGCTGTGCTGATGACAGGCACATCCAGCATTCCACTTACTCGCTTTGCTTGACTAATGGTAAGTGGCACTACGTTTCTTCCAAACGGGTTTTTGTACGTTTTACGCCTCGGCCTTCATTTATTGTGGTAATAAGTCTATTGGTGCCGGTCACGGTAGCCGAGCGGTCTAAGGCATGCACTGTCTTCGCTCGCTCGGAAGCCGAGATCGTGGGTTCGAATCCCACTCAGGGCATGGATGTTTGTGTGCGTTTTTCTGTGTTTGTCTACAGGCAGAGGCCTTGCGACGAGCTGATCACTCGCCCAAGGAGTCCTACCGCATGTGTAAGATCTAGAAAAACCGAAGTGAACGGAGAAGTTCATGGAGGTAGGCCTAGGCCCACTGGGGCTGTAGTGCCAAAAAAAACAAGTATTGGTAAAAAACTAATTATGTTGAATGGCCACAAATTATTGTACCTTGTATTATAATGTATTATAAATATCATTTGCTAGGGGACAGCTAGGTAAATACGTTCCCGCGAAGACAAATTCTTGGCCAACAATAGGCAAAATGGTTCCATTATTAGGCAACGAAATTGTAAACACGCAACAATAGGACGAATGTTTATAGCTCGTTGCTAGGCAACAGTCAGCGCGTCAATGAACACTCTGGGTAGGAACCATTTGAGTTGTTTTCTGTGCTTGGTTCGTGCGGAGACTATATAACGAGTATCTGTTTTAGCTTAGACGTGACTGAGAGACTCGTGCAGAGTGCGAAGTGAATGCAATCAGTCAGTTTGAGTTCTCGGCAGAAGATAGCCACGGATAGTTCGTCGTAGAAGAGGAATAAGAAGTCGGCCTGTGAAGACTTTAAAGTGTGATTAGAAGGCTTCATTCACGTGTAATACTTTGAGTGTGTGATTCAGTGAGACTGTTATAGCTCCTATGTTTTAATTGCACTACCAGGAGAGGTCCAGTGTTTGTGAATCAGCGATAACGCTGTATTTGAGTGTGATTAACAGAACTTACAATCGAGGTGCTAATAAATCCAATCATCCGAACTAGAACCTTCATTTTCGTCACGCGTACCACCCTACACATGATAATATTAAGTATTCAACAAAAGAAACTCCGTGGTTTTAGTCCGCAAGCGAACTATACCGACCGAGCGACCACCGCTTGTCGACGAAGTTAGTGCCCACTTTAGCGTATAGAGGGTGTTGCGTGGTCAGCGCAACGAATCCCCACGGCCTTTAATTCGGTTTTCTAGACCGGTTATTAAGTATTCACTATATATAAGACATTTTACAATAGAAGGCGAAATGTTAAGGGGATCTATATTTATGGGATGCTTTGTTTTTCTGTATAAGCCATTTTCCAGAAAATCGATGAAGTTAGATTTGAGGTAATACAAATTATGCCTCATGTTGGACCGACATGATCCAAAATGAAATTATTCCGACAACATTTAGTGTATGGGAGCCGGTATAGTTCAGTATGTATACCAACTAGGCCATTGGCTGGACTACCGAGGAATCGGGGTTTGATTGCCGCCGGAAACATATTCGGTGGGTACGAGCGGCTGTTTTCTTGTGGATACAGCAGCATAGGCATGAAGCTGACCACTAAATTCCATCTAGTGCAGAAGTTAAAAATGATGGAGCTATACCCCCATTCCTCATACGTCTTTGTGGCGGAGTGCTCAATTAATTAAGCACAGGAATAATTTTACCTATACCTCAACTTCTGTAATGTTATTGTCCATAAGTTCCTTCAACCGATGTCTGTTGTACAAGACAGGCATGTTACCTGAATCGGAGGACCTCAAAAACTGACGCAGCCCAAATCCAGAGGCCGATCTAAATACAGACACGTCACAGGCTACAAACTATCACACCACCAGTGCCAAATTTCATAGAAAGCTCGAAGAGGAAATATGGACAGATAGACGGAAACGAATTCCGGTTACAAGTTCATTTTACTCTCGTCGTGAAATTGAAATTAAGTGAGACCCGAGGTTTTCAGCGAAATGATGGTACATGATCCTACGGAGTCGAACATCCGTGTGGAAGGAGCAATGTTGGACTTTGTCTTTCTCGACTATTTCGTCAAAATGCTTCATATAAGAAAATATTTGGGGGGGGGCAAATAAACAAGAAAATAATTACAAAGTACTGAACGTTATAACGTGTTTCGTAATTCTGTCATCGGTTTTAATAATTGGTTTAATTTTATGCAGTTATTAATTACGAAGACGTTAGCTGAAGCCAGTGTCTTTGAACGCTATAAATAAGAAATATTCACCTGGTCTTAGTAGTTACATTTCTACCCCAGTTTCACTAATTATTTCTTTGGAGCAGAGTCCTTCATAAGAAGCCAGTGGTCGCTCAGTTATCCAAGAAATTCCCAGCTGTTTATGTGAACAGGGATTTGTTGAACGTTCAGGTACACTTCGGTCAGAATAAAGCACAATCCAAGCCAGTACAGTCGGGAATATAATTACCGTAGGCCTTCTCAATACACGTGGGTTTGGGACGCCTGTACTCTAGTGAGTGAAGAAAATAATTACGTAATTACTGCAGTTTCGTACTGTATTTCAGTGCGGTTTCGCAGTCAGTTTCGGAGGTTAATACTGATCATTTCTCTAACAGCAGATGTCGGGATCAATATCAGTCTAAAATTCAACTTTGTAAAATATAAGATTTTTCTATCCTAAGCAACAGAATAATAACCGTATAGGTAAAAGGTAAGGTTGTCCCTGTGACTAATTAATTACTACGCCATGAAGACATATGGTGGAGTGGAGGTATAGCTCCACAATTCTTGACCTTGGAACTAGATGAAGGCGAGTGGCGAACTTCACGCTCCAGCCGCTTTACCCCTCGGTTATGCTTCTTTGTACGAAGTGAACTCATATGAGAGAATGTCTTGCCCAGTAGTCCGCATGTTTGAACTCCGAAACAACTGAGCGGATATCGATTAAATTTTGTATTGGTCTGAATTAAAATTCGAAGTGCGAGTTTTGTTTTGATTCCCGTTGATTTACGCGAAGCTCAGTTATAACCTTATCAGTTTTCTCAGACGAACTTCATCGTACAAGAAAAAGACTAATAGGTTCCGAGAGATCTTGTTTAGACCTGTAACTGCTACTTATAACATCTCTCATTAAGTTAAGTAAGTATTTTTTTATTGTTAGTGGCGTGGGACTAAGTCCCTTGTACTGCGGCCACTTCTGGCCTATTGTACCAGCCCCAGATGATAGGTGAGGGTGATTGTGGAGCAATTGGTGGAATGAAGATTGGCAGGGGAAACCGAAGTGCTCGGAGAAAACCTGCCCCATCGCCACTTTGTCCACCACAAATACCACTTGACCAGACCCGGGATCGAACCCGGGCCGCCGCAGTGGGAAGCCAGCGACTAACCGCTTGAGCTATGGCGCGGCCTTAAGTAAGTAAGTAAAGGTATCCCTGTAACAGGTCGTGGAGGTCCATAGGGTTGTGAGATGTTGAGGTTCACATCTCTCGTTACAGTCGGTGTTTAATAAAATACAAGGTATAATATTTTCAGACTGCAGAGATGTCTGTACTGCTTGAACTTTTCAACAACAGATTTGTCACGAGTAACTGAACTTTCATGACGCATGCAAAATGTCAAAGAACGAATATGAAAAATGCGTATGCTCCACAGGAGTACACCTTCCATCTCATTTTATTCTGCGAACCGAATTAATCTCACATTCGCATGTACACACTTCTAAGTGAAACGAGTTAAGAAGATAAAACATGTGGCACTAATAATTACCGCACTTGCATATGGTACGTACCGTGACTGGTGTATTGGTGGTTGCAGCTGCCAGCTCCCACAGGGGTTGCTCGCCATTACCAACCCCTAGCCCATGCACAAAACTTGACATGACAGTAATCTTCCTGGAATTGCGAATTTTTGGTGTGTGTTCCTACAGCAGCTTAAATTTAAATGTTTTGTTTAAAATGTCTCATTAAATTACACTCCCATGTAGAATTTAAATTTAATAATACAGACAATATATATATAAGATCAGTTGTTAAGGTTTATTAAATTTCAATTTCTATTTTCACTCTAATTAATTTTAGGTTTGCGAATAATACGGAACTCTGCGCACTACTTAAATTAGAATACGTTTAGATTTTCAAGAGTGCTGTCTCGTATAATATTCAGATGTATGAATAAGCCTAGCTAAGATACGAACAATGTAATTCGACGTTTTGACTACTCGAAAGTACAGAGTATGTTGTGTTTTAAAATACCTAATCGTGCTCTAGCCACGCCTCCAACCCTTGTGATATACCAACCTGTCGTCATATCCATTCTGTCATTGGACCATCCCCTGAGTTTGCGCCCTACATAATGATATGTTGAACCAACCCCTAGTGATCTTCGCTTTGGTTACCATGGCTACTACATTGTAGCCTTAATGTTTGGCAGTACAAAGAGGGAAAATAACATTTTGCTTGTCTGCGCACTTGTAGCCGAAAAATTAATATTGAATTTTTTTTTTATATTGAGAATTCATAGTATCCCTTTTAAGGTTATTCCTTACGTTATGTGGGATATTCGATGAAACTGACCTCCAAGGTAGGTCTGTAGTTGTCTTTGAACTGTCGACGGTTATTCGTCTGTTCAGGAAACCCTGTTGTGATGCATTGCCATCATTATAAAAGCCAGCCAGTGGACCCTAATTCTGGTCCAGTTCATTAAATTTAGCGTACTCACAATCCGTTTTTCAAAACGTGTTCTAATATTATCCTCCGAGACGTGCAAAATTGTCTCTCTCCGTGTGATTTTCTAATAAATATTTTGTATGCTTTTCTTGTTTCACTACTAGAACAAAATTTCAGGCCCATCTCAGTTACCCTCATCTCATCCGCCTAATAATACTCTGTGAATAACACAGACACTAAAACCTCATTATGTAATTTCTTCAATTCGCTTACGATTACATTAGCCATTAGCTATGTAGATTGGTTAGTGGCAAGTTAGGCAGGTAGATAGTTAAGGTTCATAAAAAGTAAAGTAAAGTTATCCCTGTAACAGGCCGTGGAGACCCATAGGGTTGTGAGATGTTGAGGTTCCCACATTTTCTAGATTTTCGGCTCATAGATGGCGGTGAGGTTCTCAGCCTTAAGCGCCGGCCGCCCTTTACCCCCAGGAATATTCCTGGTACTCATTTCTGTTAGAGGCAGAGTCGACCCCAGGGCCATAATGCTGCTGGAAGGATTAGGTAAATTGAAAAAAAAATCCACCTCATTGGGATTCGATCCCGCGACCTTCCGGCTTCTAGCATAGTGCCCCAATCAACTATGCTATCATGTTAATTTAGTAAATACCATTTGGTTATGCTTACTAAATTATATTAAACCATAATACATTACAGCGAAACACAAGCCAATGTCAAAAGAAGTAGGTAGTTAATTGATTAGTTATTCGGCTAAGTATTTAGGTACATAGCTACTAGTCGACCAGCCAGTTTGCTGCTATCTGGGTAGCTGAGTAGTCTGATAGCTAGCGAGTTAGTTTGTGTGTCAGGTGATTATTCTTGTGCTGTGAGGGATTGGGATGCCTGGCCCGTTCCCATTCAGAATTAATTCTGAAATTATGATTCTTATAGACATTTGGTAGGAATGCTTGAACGGGGGATCAGCCGGTCTCAAGGCCGCTACCTATACAGGACAACACAAACACAAAAAGAAAAGCGAATATCCATGCCTCGAGTAGGATTCGAATCCACGATCCTAGTGTTTGAATAGGCGGAGATGTTCCGTGCCTTAGCCCGCGCGCTAGACAGTAATTTAGCCATGTAATTTATCAATTAGGCAAATAATTAATTTCCCCTTCAGCCAATGGAGGTTCATTCAGAAAAATCGGATGATAATATCAATGTACCCTATAGCGCCGCGCATGCGTACTAATACAGAAGCAGTAAATATTAACTTTTTCGGGGAATAACTTATTTGACGTTCGTTTCAATAGCAACTCCTATACGAAGAGCTCTTGTTGTAACCTAAATTTCTGTGGGTCATGTTACCAGTTGTTACTTTATAATATGGTGAGAAATACAGAGTTTACATTATTAACACGTTAAACGTTTAATATTTTTAATATTTAAAATTTATCAATATATATGACGAATATATATTTTAGTATAAAGACAACAGGGCATGCAATGAAGTAGTTTGACGTACATCGAAAAGCACCTGAAGATGGCACTTTTGTGCTGAGACATGTAGTGCAAGAGAGAAGATTAAGGTGAATAAATGTATGCACTGTAAGACGGTTAGAATAAATCATGGACGTTAAACCGGCTTGTGCTTAAATTGATCCACGTATATCACGCTTTCGGAACTATGTACGTATATTCTAAAATACAAGTATGAAGGCCGACATACTGTATTTCCAATGTTATGCTTGAAGGTACAGTGTGTCGGCAGTACCGCCTACATCTGGACGGTATCATCACCCAGAAACATGATCCACAGTGGTTACTCTATTGAACTTCCACAGATAATATTACTGTAGTTGCTTTTAAAATCGAATGGATTGATAAACGCTGTTCTTTACAGCAACCAGACAAGTAATAAACCAGAAGAATGCCGTCCTCTGGGATATGGCGCCGTATAGATCCTGTGTTGGGTGCAGCCGATTGCTCAAGCTGGTTCTTACTCGCGGATTTTTCTACCCTGAAAATGGAAGCGATACGTTCCTCCGAAACGTCGGTTCACATAGGATTTACACGGCGCCACATCCAAGAAGACGACATTCTTCATAGTCAACCGCCGTGAAAATCTCAGGTCTTACAAAGTAATGAAACTGTTCACAATTTAAGGCATGCTGCAGAGTAAAAACGGACTGCCGTTGCAGTTTAATCCAGAACACTTGCAAGCGGATATGAACGTCGCAACATATGGTTCACTTGTTAGCTACGCAATGTATTAAACGCCAATTATGGAAATCGCTGCCATCCAATACGCATCACTTTATTAATGTGTAGGGAAAGTTCCATGGAATCAAATTGGGAGGGCGACAGACCACAGTGTCTAACATAATATGAGACTAAGGGATGAAGGGATCGGATAAAGAAGGGGCAGTTACAATATTGCTTCATATGAGGAGTGACATATAAGGTCGCAGTTAATTAATATTTGCAATACGTACGCGTCTTATGCCCCTGCTTGTCAGAGGCACGTAGGGCCCTAAACAGGAGTTTCAGTATTTCCTCTCAGTGATTGACGGGAGCGCGGCCCGAGGTATTCAACCCCTCGAATTATAGGATCGCGGGTTTGAATCCCACCCCAAACTTTGATATATACATATGTCCATGTTTGATTGTGTTGTCTGTTGTAAGTATGAGGTTAAAAAAATTAAAGCTATCCCTCTAACTGGCTGTGGAGGCCCATAGGATTGTGAGAGTCGAGGCTCTCACATTTTCTAGATAATCGGCTCACATATAGCGCTGAGATTGTCGGCCTTACGCGCCGGGCGCCCTTTACTCCTTATGAATTTTCCTGGTACTCATTTCTGTTAGAGGCTGAGTCGAATCCAGGGTCATAATGCGGCTGGAAGGATTAAGTTAATTGAAAAATCCAATGACCTCATCGGGACTCGAACCCCCGACCTTACGACTTGTAGCATAGTGCCTCAACCAACTATGCCACAGCGCGCCCCCGTTGGAAGTATGAGCTTTGCTGTAATTCGATTCTCCAGACAATGAATCCTGTCGAATTACTTAATGTAGGTCTTCTGAATTAAAAGGACCGCCTCTGTGGTCTAGTGGTTCCTGGCTACGGACCCAGAAGTTCCGGGTTCGATTCACGGCGCTACCAGATTTTCTGAGATGTAGTGGGTCTGGAACGGGGTCCACTCAGCCTCGTGGGGTTAATTGAGGAGCTATTTCAAGGAAATAGCTTCTACGGTCTAGAAACCCGGAGATTAACGGCCGTGGGTATCCGTTGCGCTGACCACGCGACGACACCCTCTAACCGCTAAATTTGGCACTATCTTCTTGGTCGGTACAGTTCTCTTGCGGACTACATGCCACGGATTTCTTTTTCTTTCAAATTAAAAGAAACCTCTATGCTGATAACTAAACCAGTGAAGACAGAATAATGGCGGGAGACCTTCGTAAATAAAATTGAAGACTCATTTGCCTGTCACTTTCTTAGTTTATTGAAAAACGCTTCTCACCTTCTTTAATCGTTAATGGGAAGATGATTATGAATAACGCATATGGAAAATCCGATATGTTTAGGCCGTCGAGGCTTTATTAAGTATTTTACCGAAGGTGCTGAAGAAGCCTTCAAAACTCCAGGGGATAGCCAGCGTCTGGACCGAGAATCAGACTGGGAGCAACGAAAGAGAGTAACTGACCACTGCACTGCGAAACTAGAGCGGTTGAATTATAGGCCTGTTATTCTTCTAGCCGCAGCCTTGAGTGTTATTTAGACGGTACAATATCCGTGTTCTTATAACTAAGTCCGTGGTACATGAACTTATTCGTCAGATATATAAATCCCAAGTTGTGGAACCCTGCACGAAATCCCGTCATCACACCCTGTCGTGACCACCGTCAGTCCAGTGCACACCATCTCACCCGATTTGAACTACCATTTTAATATTATCACATGAGGACTGATGAAGACAAACATTGTTTGGTAACGTTTCAATACACACGTGTCCGCAGCAAGGAATAAACGCTAAACTATAGATGAATTCTTGGAAGTGGTGTTTTCTGTGCCGTCTGTGCTGAGGATGTGCAAGGAGGAGGGATCCGTTACCAGGCAACGGCTGGTGAAAACGTGGCAAGCTAAGAATTAGTGTGTGCTGTAGTGATTTGTAAAGTGTGTAGATTAACGGTAGTTATAATTACTTGTAATTATGTTTTATAAGTGTGTTCATTAAATTAAATTACC